TATTTCATCAGAAAGAATATGAAGAAAAATTTGTTGTGTAAAAGCAATTTATCATGGTCTTAAATTCCAAAAGGCCTTAAAAAGATTTTCAATCTCTTTATCAAGTTGAGCCTGTATTAATGTTAAAAAAAAATATATATATATATATATATATATATATATATATATATATATATATATATATAATTCTTGATCCAGTCTGAAATGATTAAAGTTTTTATCAAAAAACTACCAATGCATTTGCTATCTGAGTTTTTGACATGAAGACTTATTTGACTACCATCTACTTCTATTTATATATTTCAGGTGCTATATTCTCTGGCTTTTCTCAGAGTGCATCACATTTGGTATCCTTCAAAGAGATCCAAAACAGAATCTTTTACTTCATACCAGACAGTGGAAGAGGGGGATATTTTTTCAGTTACATACTGTGTTGGAAAATAAATATAATTGATCATATATGATGGCATATTTGTACTTACACAATATGGAGTATGAGGTGCCCTCATATATATATATATATATATATATATATATATATATTTAGATGTTCCACTATAATAACATTTAAAGTAATACAAATGTCAGATTAAAAACAAATCCATTAATTATATATATATATATATATATATATATATATATATATATATCTGTGTGTGTGTGTGTGTGAGCATAGAAGTCAACACTTAGAGGCGACAGTGTTTCATGCTAGATGCAATCGTCAGGCCACCTTATATTTATATTTACACATGCTCTATCTCTGATATTGAGCACTTTATCCCATAAATATAGCACATCTTAAGACTATATTTCTTCATATATATATATATATATATAAAGGTTTGTCACTTAACTGAATGATGTTTCTTTCAGCATCCCGAGTCCAGAGTTTCGTAGACAGACCTGTCCATCCAATCTTCAGCAAGTATCAGCATCCGCAATTTACTGTATGTATGTATTTATGCATATGACAAAGTGAGTTTGCTGTGAGAATTTTGCTGTTGAAGGCGTTTCATTCATTGTGCAGCCATTTCTAAAAGTCTAACAGTATATGAACCCAGAATACACAATAGTTCAACTCATTTGATAAAGTGGAAAATTGTAGTAATAATCAGCAAATGTCTTTGTGTTGAAGCTTCAGTCTTGAACTTGCCTACTATTATACAACATTCAGGTTTAATTCAAAGATTTATGTCAATATCATTTTGACACCTGGAGAGAATACCAAGATTTTCTGTTCTACTTACCAAGTAACATCCTTTCATGATGTCTGTGAATATGACCAATCACAAATAGCTAAATTTGTTTTAACATGGCATTAATAACTGCAATCATTCTAAACAAATATGCTCAATAGATACTAAATATTTAATATCAGTAAATTCAAATGTTAATTTGGTGCATACATAGGCATTCATGATCAAAAGGAAAAGCATTATTTCCTTTGTAGTCAACTGTGAAAATACATACATTAGATAGAGAAAGAAATTTTGAAAACAAACATTTTAAAATTCTCCCAAAAAATTTTCCTTCAACAGAGTATTTTCACTTGGTGAAAAAAATTTTATCATAATCTTCCAAGATTAGTGTGGCTGTTGGTAGATGGTACTTCATGATTTACTTGAATTAAAAAGAGATCATATTGAATTTATTAAGATAATTGATCATAAATTTGATCTTCACTTTTCTACTGTTGCCAGTTGTTGTGGTTATGATGGTGATGACAGGGTCAATCAATCTGTTCTTTTGATTTACCATCTGATTCAAAGTCAAACTCAGTTGTTTTATTATAATACAACTAAGTAGAGGCCGAAGTAGAAGACAAGTGCACATTTGTCACAATCTGGAAGTCACTCACGTACATACTTGTCTGCAAAGGGAAGGGGGCAGCTGAAGAGATGCCAAGTATAATATGGACCAAAAGGAATATCAAGTAATGTTTCTATTGAAACAGAGTAAAGCTGACAAGGAGTATCATGACAAGGATATGCTGACTACCAAACAGAAACTCAACAAAGACCTAGAGAAACATGTTTACAAGATAGCTCAATGTGTACTTCAACAGGCAGATGATCAATCTGTAAATGAACTTTTGACAGTTTGAGACTGATAAGTTTAACTGCAGCACTCTAATAAACTGACGGCTCAAACTCAAAAGTTTGAAAATGCCACTACAGTTCAAGTATTTCTCAACTTGAGAAATGCCACCAAGAGTTCGACAGCTTTATTAGCCAAATACACAGAAGCAAATGAGCAGATTGAAATACAACAGTCAATAAGTCAGTTTCAGCATTTATAAAAAGAACTGGACAATAAAAGAACATAGAAATTAAACAGAGAAGAACATTGTAAGAACAATTAAAGTTCTACATTGAAATTAAGGGAATCATACTTGCTATAGAAAAAAAAATCATCAAAGGTGGAAAGAAATTGAAGATATGAATAATTGTTTTTACAGTTTCCAAGCAAGGGTTAGAATGAAGCAGAGCAACAGACTTGGTTTTCAACCAATCAAATTGCATCTAATTAAATGCATTCCATATCTGCTACCATTTAATAATACAAAAGTAAATGCTAGTAAATAAGTTTGGAGCTATGTAACAAAGTGACAAGTAAAATTAATATCTCTTGTAAAAAATTGATTTATGGAATGCTTGGAAAGTCATTATACATCTGCCAAGTTCTTGTTTTGTTAATAGAAGGATGCTTTATCAATTTATTCAGTATCTACACAAATTTTGTTTCCTACAATTGTACCTACTGCTAACTGCTCTCAGCTGTCAAATTATTTTTTTTTTCACCAATGACAATCAATTTATTTCTACAGTTAAAAAGATAAATATTTGAATGTGGCAGAACAAACTGGTTGCAATTGTTATACATGACCCAAGTACATAACTCTTCAAACTTGTTGACTAAGATAAAGTAGAACAACAGTGGGGTAGCTTAAGATTTTTGCAATTAATGACATTATTTTGAAATTTGTTTATATAATCAATGTGTATGTCACCAATTTTTTTTTAACAGACCTGCAAAGATTTCAGTTAAACAGAATCATATTTTACTTTAGGAGTAGTCTCCCCAACAAATAAAATATTTAAACAGTAAGATTTGAATTATAAAACAAAACTTGAATATGTTCACCATGTTTGAGCAGGGGTGTTGAAATATAAACAGAAAACAAACTAACATGTATGCAAAACTGAGTATGAGGTGTTTCTCTTAATATATAAACTGCAAAAGGCAATCACCTGCTATTTATGTTAGTTTGATGTACTATTATTTGCATGAGTTCTGCTGCTGCTATTTTGTTTTGTAATTATTTCTAGAAGTCTAACCCAGTCTTTTCATGGGGTTTCTAAACTTATACCTGACAGTTTTTCCAACCTAGTAATATAAGATGATATATAGAATCAATGCATATGCTATGCTCAAAAGATCCAATTAATAACCCAGTATAGAAATTAGAAGACAATAGTTTTAACAGTCCAAAATTAAACTTCATTGGAATCCTATGTGATATGCCCTCTTTGATAATAATGCTGGTAGGCTCATCACATTACTAGGAAACAGAGTTCACTTCTTAGTACAATGGGTCATAAAACTTCTGCTTTAAGAAAAAAAAATGATAGCTACAAGAAATCCCTCAAGAAGACATGAAATATGACAAAATACCAAAAATGAGCACAATATAACCCAGTGAATGAAATAAAGTGTTCTTTGTGAAGCTTCCTGAAATTTACCACATGACAGTGACTTGAGAACATGGTTATGGCTCTAATGTGACAAAAATCTCTGTAAAAACTAAAAGAATTATATTGCATAATTATAAGTAAAACAGTGTATAAACATTTAAACCAAAACCACCTTCTTTGGTCCATTGGTGTTAACAATATTCTGTTGAATGACGCTCCACTGGGATTATCCATAGTTGTTGAAATACCCATGGGATGTAAATAGTATCCTTATACATCTGCAGGTGGCAGAGTTTTAAATTCAGAGTTGTTTTTGCAACCATATCTAGAGAGCCTAATCTTCTATTATTTAACCAACAGCTAGTGGGAAGAAGACAGATTCATACCTTTCCTCAAGGGTATTTATGCAAAAGTGAATGTTATGAACTCAGCTGACTTCTCATTCTGAGCCACTAACCATCTATTTAAATATAATTATTCACAAGTTTTATTCCATCTCAAATTCTACAAATAACAATTTTTTAAATAATCTACATTTATTTTTACTTCTATTCTTAAAAATGGATTTTAAAAAATTCATGCATAATTAATCCCTCAGCAATTGTAAAATCTTCTTTAATCATACTTTAATTTACACTAAGAATTCTCTGTTAAGATTCCATTTAGCAATATATTTTTGGAGGAAAATATTTTTGTTCCATATTTTTGTGTTCTGTATGAATATGTCTTTTTCTTCTGAAAATGGACTTTAACAGAGTTTTCAATTTATAATTAAATTCTTTTAATTTTTATTTATTTTCATGCAAGTAGCAAGTCTATTTTGTTGGTTTATAATATCAATTTTAAAACAAAGGAAAAAAAAAAAAAAATTGCTTTTTCTCTGCAGCTAGGAACAATTTATTGTGTTATGAAAAACACTTCATTGAGAAAAAGAATATACAACTGGGTTTTTTTTCTACATTTAACATGCTTTAAAAAATTACACACCCATCTCCAAAAAGATTTACACAAAGGTTTGTTTTTTCGCTATATAGATATTATAAATAATTGTTTTTAAAAAAAGCCCACTTTAGAACCACTTCACTAAGTTCCACTTTGAAATGAGTCTCAAAAATGCAAATTTCCAGAAGAAATGAAGGCTATATTCAGACAAAGCTGATCAAAATACCCAAGAAAAAACACCTTTTCCTACAAAATTACATTACTGAATTGAATCTTTACTGAATTATATTCCAAATATACATTTATAATATCATAATTTTTATAGATTGATTAAAATATTTGAGAGACAACAACTAAACTTACTCTATGTGATTTGTACGCAAAGAAATTTCTAGATCTCTGAGGACTTGCGTAGATGTTGCATCACCGAGCATTTTCCGTTTCTGGAAGAAGAAAAAAAAAAGTCATTGAAAGCAATTTAAAAAGCCCTGAAACAGCTGTATATTGTTTAGATATTAAAAAGACAAACAAATTGTTGACCTTGATAGTCTTTCAACTATGAAATCTCATATTTAGCAGTACACAATATGAATTCTATCATCTATTTAAGATCAAGAGTCCCATAAACACTAATTCCAGGCATAGTCAACAAAATTTAGTCAAATAACAGCAGTATAAGCCTTTTGATTTTTTTTAACCAATTGAAAATCATAGCAATCTAGATAAGACTTTCTTAGATAGAGAATAAAAACATAATAAATGTATTAGTAAAAAATCTAAATACAAAACAAAAAAGAATAGACTAAGAAATAAAAATTAATAAAAAAAAAATTAAAACTATTCAGAAAGTTAAAAAAAAAAAAAAAAAAAAAAAAAGTAACAAGTCAGAAACAGGTCATGTATTGACATGCAGGCTAATATGAAATATTTCTATTCTACTAAATTTTACATAAAACAAAATTAAGAGCATGAAATTTTAGTTGATATTTATGTCTGGCATGATTGAAAATGGGAGATGACTGAAAATAAGATTATCAGAATTTTCTGATAAATATTATTTTGATAAATTTTATTTTGATTAGTTTGGTCTAATTGCTCCCCAACAAACTTGGAGAGATTTTTAAGTTATATAATGGTTGTACTAAAACAGTATTTTCATGAGTAAAAACCATTTAACAGAAATACAATTTATATCTCAAAAGCCAAAAGTATGACTTGATCACAGGATATTCTATTAATGGAGTAACATAAAATTAATCCTTTTGAACAAAATCTCCAAAGAAAATAGATTTAAATTTAAAATATAAAAGTAAATGTTAACAGTTTCAATTATTATTGCATTACTTTCAAAATACATCTTGTATCAAATTGTCATAAAAAATTTCATTTTAAATTATTTCAAAAGCAATATCACTAGTAGTACTAATGTAAATTCTATGTGTAAAAGGAGGAATGGCAAATAAATCTGCTCTATGTGAAGATTTAATAGAGGCAAAAAATAAATAGTTTGAAAAATATGATTTATGACTTTAGAGAAAGAGAGAGCATGGCATTGTCAGATATACAAAATCTGAAATTATTTCCTCATGCACTTGTTGACCAACAAGTTCCTTTTGCTAACGAATCAGGTTTTATGAATCCATTTTGTCCAGAAATACACTGGACAAAACATTAAACTGTTGAAGCTTAATAGCATCACGGATATATAAATTCACCATAAAAAATTATAGCAACAAGGATAATGACTATAGACACAAAAATGTTTAAGTATAATAGATACAAAACACTAAAACCAATTTCAATAGGCAATCTCTCACCAACTTTTAAGTTGTCCTATTTCTTTTTTTTTTTTATGGGCTGTGATTTCTTCCTAACAAAATATGCACTAACTTAAAGATAGAAAAGGAATTCCATCTTGGTAATAATGTCCAATAAAAATATAAGATTTTGAACTAAAATAAGACAAACTGAAAGTTTTGTATTTATGAAAACTGGAATCATTCCTCTCATAAAATGCAAAAAGTTATCAATAAATAAGCAGCAGAAATTATTTGGAAAATTCAATGAGCATAATTAAAATTTTAATAATACAATTATGACTGGTGATATTTTAATTCTCAAGTAAAATAGAAATTATTTACAGTCAAATTCTTAAGTGAATTGAGATTTTATTCTGATCTGACCAAAATCCTTTTCAATAAGAACTGAAATTCTGAGCAGAAAGAATTATTATTGCTTGATTACATTTTTTAATCTAAAATAAGTTTTACTTTAATATAAGAAAAAATATGAAATTTTTATGAAGCCTTTTGACACTTCCATTCTATAAAAATTTAAATTATTTCATTAACATTTTATAAGCTAGTAATATATTAAAAATTCAAATAATGAAAACACAGAAAATAAAGTGTATAAAAACAAATAAAGTTTTTGTAATTTTTCCAAAAGATTCAGTTCTATCATTATACCTACTTAAAGAAATAATTTTGACTCAAGTCCAAAAAGTCATCATTTTTATAATTAAAAATACCATAATATAAATATTTTAACTTTCAAGCAACTATTTTTAATAGCAAGACCATAGTTTTACATACCTTGGAGGCTTTAGTTTAAATATTCAATATATATTGTTACCAGAATTATATGCCTCAATAAAAGCATTCACCTAAATAAGACAAGGATGCATCCTCTCACCTGACTTACTTAACCTTTACAGCAAAGAAATCCTAAGAAAATCAGAAGTTCTAAGATTTACATAAACTTAGCAATATACAATAAGCACTCTGTTGATGGCAGACAAAAAACAAAAAAATAAACTGTAGGAAATCCTAGACAAGATAACAAAAGAGAGCAGGAAGAAAAGACTAACCATCAATTGTAAGACAATGTATGGTCATTAGCAAGAACAGCCCAAAATACAAATTGAAGATATCAAAATCAAATACACAAATTTAATTACTGGGAATTTTTTTTTAATAGATAATGGAAAATGTGACAAATCTAAAAGTGCATTGGAATAACAAAAGACGCTTCAAAAAGCTTAAATTATTAAGAAACAGGAAAATTTTGTTACAAAAGAAAGTGCTGAACTGCTATGTAATATCAAACAGCTTATATGACAATGAATGCTGAACATTTTCCTCATATATACAGAGGAAACTAGAAATAACAGGGATGTATTTTTTTTTTTTTTTTTAACATACGAGTGTTAGCACGTGCGATACCCTGTCTTCATCAGCTGCCGACCAGGGATGATATCACGGTTTCGGTGGCTATGGCAGGACCGCCACCCCTGGCACCACCAGCAGCATTTGCCACCAGGCAGGGTATGAAGATAAGCTAATTCTACAGGAGGATGATGGCTGAGAATGCCATGGATGGTGCATGTAAGTAACAAGGATGTTTAAGAAGAATGGAAACAAAAAGGACACTTAAACTTAGAATCACAAAGAAACAATTACAATTTCTGAGACACACAAAAAGGGCTTGGCACTAACAGTACATATTGAAGGCAAGAGGAGCAGAGGAAAACAGTAAGTCACCGAACTAGCTTGTGTAAATGGATGACAAAAGAGGGACTGGGAGGGATAGTAGAGAGACAAACATTACTTAGAGCAACAAAGGATAAGTTGTTGAGAACAGTGATCACCTATGTCCTGAAAGGAATGGCACATAAAAGAAATTTGTTTTAATTTCTAACACCTTAAAATAATTACCAGCCAAGCACAAAGAGGAAAGGTTAAAAAATAAATAAATAAATAATAATAATCAGACCATAGTTAAAATGACTTGAATATTATTCTCAGTTATGATAAAAATCTGTCTAGTATGAATAAAAGTGAAGAGCCCAGCAAAATAACACCAAATTAGTTCTTTATATAAAATTATTTTTGGGAAAATGCTTATTATGCAACAATAGAAAAGAAAACATGTGCTGCTCTGGAATTTTATATTCTCATCTTAATAAAACTAGCTGAAAACCCACCCCTCAGGTTGGATTTGAAACTAATTCTTGCTGAAGGAACAATTGGAAACTTTGGATGCCAGACAAGAGATCCTGGATTTGAACTACATATTTATTGAATCAGACATTACTTGAAAATCATTAACTCTTTGATCACATCTGATAAATTTTAAGAGGTGAGGGTAATTTCACAAAAGATTTCAAGTACTCATGTTTAACATAAATTGATTCATCCCATTTTTATTGCATCAAAAACTCAGATTTATATTTTTGTGAGGACTTGTAATAAATCTTGTCAAAAGGTTCATGTTTATGGTCCCTGGGTGACCATTGCATCTTCTACAAATGTAAACACATTTTTTTGCCCATTTTCTGGTGACCGGAGTGGGCATACATGTGGAATCCTAAAGGAAAAAGTAAATATTTCCATCATAAACGGAAAAAAGTTATAACTTTGGCTTCTGGCTATTAAAGTTTCAGTAAGTAATAAGATTAAGATTTAGTTTAGCACATCTGAAGGAGACTAAGTAAAAGGACCAATTTAGCATTATACTTACATTATAAATTGAATTACTCCCCCAACAACCCTAATTAAAAATTAGCTTTTGAAAATTCTAGAACTGATATGCTAAAACATGAACAAGAGTCCAATTAGTAAACACAAAATTTGTGATTGTAGTTCTAGTTGTTCTTAAATTGTGTGATGACAGAAAAAAACTCAGTGATTTATCATAAGATTATATAAGGATCTTTCACAAGGTCACTTTCTCTAGAGCCATGTTTATTATAAAAATCTGTTTCTAATCAAAAAATTAGTGTTAAGTTTCCTAACTTAATTAACTTTCAATCACAAAAATAGAAGATTAAATTATTTATCCAAAGCAAAGAAAATAAATTGAAACTGAAATTTTAAATTAAGAAAATAGAATTCAGTTTATCAGTCCTCAGTTATTTTTTAAAATAAATATTTTAATTTGTAACTGTTATGATGTTGATTTGGGGTTAATAAGACAAACGCCAAATAACACGCAACAATAAAAAGGGGTTTATTCGGTTGGTAAGTAGGTACAGAAATCGCCTGAGTAGTCTATAACTAACTCAGCCAAGAACTTCTCCGACTGTCTGTCTTTTGACATGCCACTATTTAACGTCTTTGTTTGTAGACAAGTTCATCTTCAAGAGGGGTGGTAGGTTTCCTACACAACAGTAACCTTTTAACATAAGACAATATGTGTGATTGTCAAAGAAATCAAAAGATACTATCATTAACAAACACTGAATAAGTATATAGTTGAGTTTTCAAATTGATTACGATAAGAGTACATAAGTAGAATTTTACATTAAAAAATAACTAAATTATTTTTATTAAATCTAATTAACAACTGAATCTGGCTTAGGCTGGCTTGGAGTATTTTTAAATTAAAAGGTTAAAAGGTTGTGAGGTCATTCACTCCATTGGTTGAGAGACAATAATTGTCA